AAGAGGAGGACATGACTATATTTGAGTAAATGTAGGATTTTGTACATGAATAAATATAGATTGTTGTATGTGAAAGAATAAGACATCCCCTGAAAATAAGCCCTGTTGCCCTTTTGGAGCAAAAGTTAATGAGACTTGGTCTTCTTTTTGGGGAAATGCAGTATTTATTTGCATGTAAATACATGCATATATTACAGAAGTTTTAAAAAGGATATAGTGAGAATCTCTCCTTTTGCCATTTCCCAGCATTTTTTTCTATGAACAACCACAATAAATGTGTATCCTCTCAGAAATATTCCATACATTCATAAATTTATATGTGTATATATATTTTCTCACATGAATGGTAGCATACCGAGCTGTTTTATACTTTTTTCTATTTAATTTTTTCCTTATGCCTTTTGTGTAAGGCTTCCTATATATAGTTGTATACTTATTCCACTGTTTGATGTAGCTGAACATAAACAGTCTGTTAATGGACATTTTAAATTATTTACTGTCGTTTGTTAGTATAATTAATCTGTATGTATGTATGTATATCTGTATATGTAAAATCTTGATTTTTTTTTTTTTTGGTGAGTATATATGAAAGATAAGTGACTAGAAATGAATTGGTGGATCAGATGTTTTGGACAGTTATCTCGGCCTCTCATGCCAGGGAAGTACTCCATCACTGAGCTACATCCCCAGCCCCTTTATTTCATTCTGTTCTGTTCTGTTCTGTTCTGTTCTATTCTTATTATGTTTATAGTCTATTTTATTTTGACAGAGTCCTGTTAAGTTGCCCAGGCTGTCCTTGGGATCCTCCTCCCTTAGCTTCTGTGTAGCTCAGATAAAAGTGTGTGCCACTGCACACAGCTTGTATCTTATTTTTGCAATCATTTTTTTTTCTTTTTCTTTGGTACCAGGGATCGAACTCAGGACCTTGCGCCTGTGAGGCAGGCTTGTATCGTATTTTTAATAGTAGAAAGATAGGCTAGCCTGATTCGCCTTCTTACTTTTTTCACTCTCAGAAGTGTGGAGAGAATCTAGGGTCATACCTTTTGTTACACCAGTTTACCTAATTCTTTGTCGTTGGACTTGTGGCAGAATGAAGAGAATAAGACTGGCTTGGTCCTCTTTATCCTTTTGTTGAGATACTTTCCTTTTCATTTGGAGAAGAAATAGATCTTCCTCCTCTATCTTGGTTACTTTTCTCATTGCCAAGGCAAGATACCTGACACCCACAAGTTAAGGGAGAAAAGGTTTATTTATTTGGCTCAGAGTTTGTAGAGATTTCAGTCCATAATTGGCTAGCTCCAAGGAAGAGTGGCATGGCAGATGGACATTGCAGATGAGAAAGTTCTTGGCTAAGTTGCAAGCAGCAGCAGCAGCAGCAGCAGAAGCAACAGCAGCATGTGACAGATTCTTTCTGAGCCTTTATATTGTATTCAGGCTACTTGCCCTTAGGGTGCATAGCACTCACACCCAGGAAGGGCCTTCCCATTATCCACACCCAGAACTATGCCAGACCAATCAGTGGACTAATTTAGTAACCACATACCCTTAATCTCAGCATGAAACACTTAATTCTAGCATCACACACCCTAGATCCAGCCACCTCTGAAAAGCCCATCTATGACCGCAGGAGGCTTTGGAGAGACATGTAAGACACAAGCCATAACATCCTCGATTTAGAAATATCTTTTAAAGCTTTATTAATTCCCAAGTGTGATTGTTCTTTTTTGCACTACTGGGAATTTAGCCCAGTAGCTCTCTACCACAGCACTACATTTCCAGCCTTTGTATATTTTTTATTTTGAGACAGCCTTACCAAGTTGCCCAAGTATATGCAACTGGTAATAGGGATTGCAGGCCTGTGCCACCTCACTTGGCACATGGGTTGTTCTTAAGTTTCACAGATCTTCCCAGTGTATCACTTGATTTAAAAAAAAATACATGGAGCTGTAAAAAGAGATAGATAGCCAACTGTATTTGCGTAAAAGAAAAAGTTGGACTGATGTTGATTTGAGAACTTAAATTTAGGGATAAATGTAGAATAATTTTTTTCCTTTATAATTCAAGATTCTTTAAAGAATACTGTACTGCAGATGAGAGAACAGAGTTAGAAGAATAAAAATGGATTTTTTTTTTTGTTTTAAGTGGAAAGGAATACAAAGATCATTACAGGATTTTTAATCCAAACTGGCTTTGGCAATCTTTTCCTCTTCCTCGCTCCTCTTTTCACTAGTTGTTTGTTATAAAATTATTACTTAGTTTTAAAATATCTGATAGAAATATTTAAATATAAATTATAATTATTTTAGTTTTCCTAATTCTGCTATATTTTATCATCTCAGAGTAAGCTTATTTTCTTAAAACTAGGAATAAAAAGGCCTGTATATGTTGTTTTCTTACACTTTAAAATATTCCCCTTTTTGTAAATATCTTGGCTTTCATGATGTTTAATGGAGATCTATACATTGGAGAATTCTGGACCTATGTGATCATTTTAGTTGTAAAGCCTACATCTTAGAAAAATAACCTAGTATTGAGTTTTAAAATTTTAAATGATTAAAAATGATTGCTGGTTGTTTTTGTTTTATTTCAAATAATACTAATGTAAAAACATCCAGCTTTTCACTTTCCAGCCACAGGGTGGTATACTTTATCTACTAACTAAAATTCTGTTTGGTGCTTGCTTTGGCAATACATATACTTTTCTTTTTGGTATCTTCCACAGCCTCCTCAAACCAAATTTAAGATAAAATAGAATTTTATATAAATTCACATTGGTCATGCATATAAATTGTTTTGACAGCAGATGGTTTTTATAGAGGAGTCTGATTTTATTTGAAGAGTTTTTAAGGAGTCTGGACCAGATTTTATTACATTAATATTACCTAAAAATTATATTTGGAAATAGTTGTATACTTATTACAGTGTTGCATGAATAAGACTACTACAAGAAACATTACATAGTCTTAATCTAAATTTACCTATTTTAAAACTTTTATCCCATTTGCACATTTTTTATATGTATAATGTGTATTTTTTTGAGGCTAAGTTATATACATCATGTCACTTTGTCCTTGAATGCGTCATTGTATTTTTCCAAAGGATAGCGATACTCTGTGATACAACCATAAATATCAACTTAAGGAAATTTAACATTGATAAAATACTTTCATCTATTATCCAAGTATTTCAGTTTGTCTTTTAATTCAGTAATGTCCTTTATAACATTTTCCCCTCCAGCTCGGTGGTCTCAGGTTAGTTATAACCTTTACTTGTCATGACTGTTTAGCCTCCTTTAATCTGGAATATTTCCACAGCTCTTTGTCTTTTGGCGTTATTTTTTTTTAAGTTTTGGGGATTAAATTCAGGGCCCTGCACAGACTAAGCAAGTATTCTGCCACTAAGCTATATCCCAGCCACTTCTGTCTTTCATAACATTGATATCAATCTCCACTAACTAGAGTGTTAACTCATTTCCATTTTGGATTTTTCTGATAATTCCTCATAATGTAGATTATACATTGCCAGCTGGCATACATAGAGGTGGTATGTTTGTATCTTTCTTAGGGTATTACATAGGTCCATCTTTTATTGTTGATATATGTTGTTGAAGTCATTTTTTGTAAATTTTAATTAAATTTATTTTTAACTGATACAGAAAAATTCCAAAATTATATGTATTAATTGGGTACCATGTGATATTTCAATACTTTTTGGAGAGAATTTAGATGCATATATGTAGACAGTTAAGTGCCAGCAGAGGATGTGTAAAAGTGAACATCCTCATCCTTTTCTTTAAAGGGTGATACTTGGTTAATATTCTGAGTAGGTAAAAATCTTAAGTTGACTGGAAGACTTGAGGTAGCACTTTTTAACTTTATTCCTTGTAGAGTTCTTTAATTCTGTTCCTGGATTGTCAAGAAGAATGGTTGATGTCCTCCTTGGGATCTGCCAGTCATTTTGTTGAAAAGACAGTATCTGAGTAGGTGATTTTAGATAGCAAAGAAGTGTAAAAAGAATGGAGATATGCTAATTATAAATCTCTCAGATGTCTTAATACCAAAGTCATATAATTTTGTAATCCCTGTTTTTGTGTTTGGAGTAGTGAAGTTTTGATATAAAATAAGCACGTATGTGCCCAGTATGTTGACTGGAAATAATACTGTATAAACTTTAATAGGAAATGATCACGTCTTTTTTTAATCCTTAGTTTATTTGAAGGATTTATGACTGTTAAATGGTTGAAAGTATGTGGTTTTGTGGGCAGGAAAATTGCTTAAATATTTCTAGTATTTTAGCCTTAGGGTGTATATAAAAATTCTCACAAGGCAGTAGGTACCTCTTTTGAAGAAAATAGTCTCTTCTCATTTGAATGCTTACAATTAGTTCACTGAATTTTTTGGCCTTAAAGAATTTTTAGCATCAGTATCAAGATGGTATAATGCTATCCTAAAAAGAGCATCAGTTTAGTTTGTAGCTCTTTTGCAGAACATAGTGATTTGAAACCTTTTTCATGATCTTACATTTAATCCATTTACTTTGATTACATATGTATATCACTTATAAAAATTATTTTCCAAAGACTATAGACATCAAAGCATTTGAGGTATGAAATTAGATGAATATAAAGTAATTTGAATGCCAAAATGTCCATTAAATTTAACAGTAGAACTTGAAATATTATTGGATACTGCTGAGAGTTGTGATTTCTCTCATCAGCTATCCTGCAGAGTACTGGAAGCAAGAAAAAATTACCCCCATATTCCTTCCAGGTTTGCCTCTTGATTTTACGAAGAAATGTACTGCTTAAATTGGTAGCAGTTTGTTGTTTCCTCTGATACTTGCATACATGTTTCTGAGTTTCTAGAGTATATTAAATGGTTCCCTGGGGCCAAGAGGAATTCATTGTGTCTTCCCAAGTGCCTCACTGAATTCTGGGAATGTGGGCAGTAAATATTTGGTTGAATATAGTTTTAAAAATTGTTTTTATTTTCATTTCTTAGACAAGACACCTGTATAGACTCTGCTTCATCCTTGAGAGAGAACAAGCAACCTGAAGGTTTGGAGTTAAAACAAGGTATGGATCAAATACTTAACTTCTATATGGCATTCACAAATAATAAGTTTTCACAGTGTTCCAACTCACTCCGTTTTAGAGAGGTGAACAAAATAACTTATCTGATCCAAGATCAAAAAAGGAAAGAGTACATGTTTTATTTCATGATATTTTTTTGGTACTAGAATAACCGGTTATACCTTAGTGATACATAGTTGGTTGCAGATGCCACCAGATAGGTTTTAAATAGTTTTAATTCAGTAATTCCTATTACATAGTGTCAGTTGCAAGACTTCGGAGATATAACTGGGTAGCTTTGGGTTGTGTATGTGGTAGGAAGACAAAATCAGTAAATTTTTGAGGATAGCCTTCTTTCTCCTAGAGAGATATTTTGTCCTTATTTACTTTCTTCCTTAAAGAACGAAATGTTTTCTTTTAAATCAGTAGTTTTTGACATAACCAGAAATAAAGTAGTAATTAACTTATTTAAGTTTCATATGCTAATCTTTTAAGTGTCTTTGTTCTCATCTCTACTAGGAAAAATTGAGAGTAATGTAAATTTTTCTCACTCAGATACCACCTCACATTTTTCCTTTTTCCTTGTAAAATTAACTCAAAGCAATGAGAATCTTTTGAAACCAAGAGGATTGAGTTATCTATTATGCAGTCACCTAATCTTTGATGGTTTAAAATAGTTTTTATAAAACTTGATACATAGGAACTTCTTTGTAGACAAAAACAAGTCATCAGATTTTTACACTTGATCTTAGCCAAAAGGCCGAGAAGCTATGTCATCAGATTGTTTTTTAGGCAGAATTATTTTTTTTTGGTACTGGGGATCGAACTTGGGACGTTGCACTTGCCAGGCAGGTGGCAGAACCACTGAGCTAAATCCCTGGCCCCTAGGCAGAATTTTTTTTAAACTATAGTCTGTTAGTAATAATTAACAGATTGAAAAAAAAATTGGGTAATTTCATGATTTGTTCAGATTACGTGTAGAGAGACTAAAATTTAGATTTTCTGTAATTTTATTTTATGTGCAGTGGGTTTTACTAATATTTCTGATGGTTTTGGTAATTCTCAGTGCTTTTCAGAGTTCTCTTGTATTAGCTTCATAAATAACCAGACAAAATTATGTCTTTGTGCTACGATTTTAGAGTGTTTTGTTTTGTGTTACTAGGGATTGACCCCAGGGTCTTTGCATTGAGCTACATCTCAGCCTACTTTTTATTTTTATTTTGAGGCAGTGTTTCACTAAGTCACTTAATTGTCCAGGCTGAGCTTGCACTTGTGATCTTCCTGTCTCAGCCTCCCAGAGTGCTGGATTATAGTCATGTACCACCTCGCCTGGCTATATCTTTGTGCTATGACTCCTTCTGATACCCTAAGGAATATAAACTCAGAGTCACATGTTCACTGGCATTTATTTGTTATATACAAATGTATGTTTAACATTTACATTATTTTCATATAATCACCATCAGATACACTCTTAGACTTAATGTATATTAGCCCACGCTGCTATTGTTTACTTTATTTCTAACCTTTTTATGTCAAATAAGCAGGCAATGTGGAGAATATGTTGTTAGATTATCTGGTGAGAGAATAACATCATATAAAGGATAGAAAAGCTAGAGCTGGTAGGTTAACTCTGGTTCCTAAGGAAAAAGGGATGGAGACTACATTGTATAAATTAGCCAAGGCTGCCTTCTAAGAGAAGATTATGGTAACTTTTAATCATTTAAAAACCAGCCACAGGGGAATAAAAAGGAAGAGAAAATGACCCAAGTAGCCAGATGTCACAGTGTCCAGGTCTTTTATGCTTACAAACTTATAGTTCATTTTGAGATTCTTACCTCAGGCCTCAGAAACAAGAACACAGATGCCATCAAGCAGAGGTGAGACAACATAAGATCAGGGTGTATTAGGACCTCTGTAGAATTCATGGCCATGTTGTGACTGCTCTGTAGAAAGTGGTTAAACCAAGTTAGGACATTTTTCTAAGAAAGTTGGAAAATAAATAGAGTGTTTAGAAAAATGTCTATAGAATGTCTAAAATATATGATGGTTTGTTGCATAATGGGTAAACATGAATTATTTAGAAGATTATATATAGAATATCTTCCAGGTAAATGCTAGCTTAGCTGAAATTTGAACCATGTAGCAAGCAACTTGCATGGAGTTATCTAATAAGCTGCAGTATATATCAGGAAGTAGAAATCCTGGTAGGCTTAATAAAGATTATTTCCTTTTTTCTAAATGAACTAATTATTGCCTATTTGCAGTATGCAAAACTCTCAAAATCTATTACTGTATGTTTAACTTTTCTTGCATAGTTAGCTATTGTTGCTTACAGTGAGCTCAATAAAAAGGGAATATAATGCCTCTTGTGAATGCATTGCCATTTTAGTGGCTTGAGCATTTGAGAGAATTCGTTGAAGCTTACTTAGTACTAAAGCAACCCTTTTTTTTTCAGTAGACCAAAATAGAAAACGGCATTGAATTTTCTCTTTGCTCCTGCAGAGTAAATCTTATTATATGACCTATTATTACTCTGATATTGACAAATTACTTAAATTACATTTTCAGTTATTTCACCTTCTCAAATGCTCAGATATTACTCAAAGCATTAATTTAACTAGTACTCAAGTATTAACTATGGGTTAAATTGAAATTGGTATTTATTGTCTAGTATTCATTACATTCATCTTCTTGATAGGAAATACCCTGTCTGATACCAGCAGTGCTGAAGATGAGGGTCAGATTATAAACTAATGATAGACTAATATCTAAAAGTGTTGAGGTGCAACACAGGTTGCATAAGCCACCTGGTGGCACTGTTGTACAACAAATTCAAGGAATATTTGTATGTTTGGCCTCAATATTGAAGTTCCTTTCAAACTGCCCAGTTTTGTAAAGACAAGTGCCTAGTGAATTGTTTGTGCTTAGGAAGAATGCTTATTAGATATTTCCTTAAATTTTTAGTGGAAGCACAGTGAAATATACAAATTTTTCTGTTAGTTCTTTTTTTTATTCTGTTGTGGGAAAAGAAAACATGCTAGATTAGTTTTTAGGCTATTTAATAGTCCCTTGAAAACATACTCATTTGAATACAGGCCTTAAAATAAGTAATACAACCATGTGGTATATAAAATGATCAAATCAGTAAGCAGATAAGATATGTTAAGTAGCCTGATTAATTTTATCACAATGCATACATATATCAAAATACTGCATTATACACTATAAACATATGATTCTAACTTGTCAGTTGTGCTTTATAAAAGTAGGGAAAGTAAATGATATTGGAATTTTAATTTATTTCTAAAAATTTAAAAATTAAAGATTTTGCTACCATTTAGCAAAGGCATCAAATATAAAAACTGTTAAACCATTTGAATTCTTAAGGTGAGAGAGAAAAGATCCTCCTTATTCTTGTTTTCATTGCTATTGTTGCTGTTACTGTTCCAACAATATGATAGTGGAAGAAGCTTTAGTAGGTAAATAGGTACAAGAATAAAAATAATGTAGGAAACCCCCCCTCACCCTCGTACTGGGGATCAGACTCAGGACCTTGTGGTTGCGAGGCAGGCACGGTGCCACTGAGCTAAATCCCTGGTTAGAATGAAAATAATGAAAAGTGAATTTGCAGTTAAAAGGGAGTTGAGTTTTACTGAAAAGAACTTCATAGCCATAGGTGAGAGAATAAATAACAGTTAAGAAAAATTAAAAAGATCCTAAGAAAATGATCTTTAATTAAGAAGGCCAAGTTTTTAATGTCTACTTTGTATATATTGCTGTAGAAATCTCTGGATCAGCACATGTGCTCTGTTGATTTTTCTAAAGACTTAAATTGCAGGCACAAGTGTTTGCCTTGTGGAGACTAAACAGAAAGTATTATAAAGCTATCTGGAGTCGGAAGCAGAGAAGCTTAGATACCATTGTTTTGTTTGAAAAGTTTGTATCAAACTCCTTTTCTTCCTGGCCCTTGATTTATGTGTCTTTATCAAATAAGTACACATAGAATTCACATTGTAAATATGAGCTTAACATCTTCAAAGGATTTTTAAAGACTTGTTCTGGGGAAATCATGTCCATTTCAGCAGTTGGTAAAAGAAGACTGTGGTGTAATCATCAGTAAGACTTAAGAATTTATATTTATTTTTCATTCCTTTGAGCTTTTTCAGAACTTGTTACCAGCAATGAAACTAAACAGGTTTTTTCCCACTTTTAAATTTGTCTTAGGGTGAAAATTATATTTTGTATGGCTATTTAGTCCATACTGTTGTTATACCTTTTGAAGACTCCTCTGTTGCTTTTAAGCACAATATTTTTCTAAGGTATAAGGGGAAAATATATTGGCAAGATTATTCACATGTGTAATGTCCCATGTCTGTTTTATGGAGAATGAAATTATGAAAGATTTTATTTTCTTCTTTTTTTTTTTTTTGGTACTGGGGATCTAACTTGGGTCCTTGTGCTTGCGCAGCAGGCGGCAAAACCACTAAGCTAAATCCCTGGCCCTGAAAGATTTTATTTTGTTGAGAGAAATGTTAGTTTCCGTATTTAAGTTATACTCATTTTAAACATTCTTTTTTTTTTTTTTCCTGTTAAGTTTATTGGTACATTTTAGGAATACAATACAGTTACATTCATCATTGGGATCTTGTACCTTTACATGCTGTATCTTGGTTCTTCTTTTTTCCCCCATTTCCCTGCCCTCCCTTCACCCCCTCCACCCTTCCCTATTTGCAAAGACTTTGTTTCCATTTTTTCCTTTTCTCATAGTTTTTCTTTTCCCTTCTTTCCTTTCCCCTACCCCTCCCACTTTCCCTACTCCTTTAAACCTTTTCTTCCTATTTCACAATATCAATTACCCATTTTAATCATTCTAACCTGTGACATATAGGCTCCTAGACACACTTGTAAGGCAATGATTTTGAAAGCTGTGTACCCTAAATCTTCAGTAGTGTTTAAATCCCCTTTGGGACACAGTGCTTTTCTGACATTGCATCCTTGTC